TACTGAAGAATAAATTATTTTCGGGGGAAATTGGTCAACGTTGAGTGTTCATACGGCGTTTTTCCTTAGAATGTCGGCTTTTATACCTCGTCTGCTCCGGTGAGTCAGCACAAATATCACGGCGTCGAGAGAAAGAATGTCATCCAATTTTAGTCTTATGAGCCTCGGTGATGGACGCTCTCGTGACATTGAGGACCCACAGAACAATTTAATTAGACTTCTTTCGCTTGTCACTATTCGGCTGATACAAATTCACGAAAAGAGAACAAACCCGCGCTGCAGCCGCCAGACACGTGTTTGAATTCGATTACAAATTCCAGAAATCTCATTCACGTGCACCAGTCATCAGCAGTAGCAACTTCGTAAGTTGGCAATTCTGTTTGTCCTCCATGTCCTCCATTTAAATCCATCAAAAAAATCGAGTTTAGATGAGGCAAGCTGCCGTGCCTAGAATCTATTGTTGAGCATCATTGACGCGACCAAAAAATTGGCAACATTGTATTTTCTTCGTTTAAACCTACGATAAAGTTTCGATTCTTGAAGGGGCCAGGTGCTCCAACAAGAATCGATCATTTAACATAGGTTTAAATGGAGGAAATCCTGTGTTGTCAAATTGCTGGATCTGCCCCTATTGAGCATACACTTAAAGGGAGGAAAACTATTGTTGCCAACTTTCAAGAATCGCCACGCATCAGACTTAATTTTCATTCAAATTTATCTAACTATGACCGTCCACCGAGATCGGGAATTCAATCCACAAAATTTCAAAATGTAGTTATTCACAGACGAGGAAAGGGAAGAGGTCTACGAACTTTTTAGACTAATAAACGCCGAAAAAGTTTGAACCTCTCCGGAAATGGTGGTTTGAAGTTTTCTTTAGTTAAAAAGACGCCAGCTTCGAGAAAAATCAATTTTTGAAATACATTTATTACATGACTGCAATTTTTGCAGCAAAGCTTTGTAATTTGTCTAAAATTGTCAAGAAATTGGAAGGAAAATGCTAACAATTTTCTTAGAAATTTCCCGTTTTTATACGAAATTTGGCGACGTCTAGAGGTTTATATGGCGTTTTTCCTTAGCACGGCGGTATTGCGGTTTGGAGGATGCTCTCTTGCCTAATTTGAAAATTGAAGGCAAAATTGCATGCAATGTCCGTCACCTCCACACCCTCAAGTCAACCTGCTTCCTCTAAAGTTTCAATCAGAAAACGCCACTGGTGATTTGCGGAGGAGATCGCAGTTGGACATAAAAAATGCTCGATATTGGAGCATACACAGAAAATGTGAGTAATAATGGGTAGAAAAAAACGGGAAAAGTGGTGAAAGATGTACGCGGATACCTGAAGCGCCGGTTTATTGCAGCTTTATTGTACGAGGAAAACCTTATATTTTCCGCAAAGCACGGATAATATGGAATGTGGATCATGTCCGTTTCAAGTTCAATGATCCAAAATCTGAACTGGGATAAATATATCTCTTCTTAACTTGGACTTTCCCTGCGTCGCAACTTTCGAATTCCGAGCAATTCTCCATTGCCAGACACGAGGAAAATGCATCAAAAATAAAAAAAAAAAAGTTAAAACCTCAAATACAGGCATTAATTTGAAGGCAGTTGCATAAGGTCACAGATTCTCGTTTCGATCCATACATCGAATTATAGCAGGAAACAGTATCGCACTGGTTCAAACGTCCCGGTTCTCGCACTAAGTATCGGAGTGCCTTTTAAAGAATGTGGTGAATATAGTCTCATCTGCAACATTGATGTGCACCAACCAATGGTGATTCTCGTAAGTTGGTAAAAATGTGTACTTCCTCAATTCATCTCCATTGAATTAATCGATTGTGGATAAAATAGTGTGACTGAATATATATCGATTTTTTACAAGCATTGAAAGTAATGAGACCCGTGTTGCCACCTTTAAAAAATTACCGATGCTTCCATGCAAGAAATTTCTTCTCCTTTAGATATACAAGGTGATCCAAATGTCCTGCGCCACCCCTATAATCCTTGGGGTTCTCATGAGGGTAGTACCCTTAAAAATTTGAGCGGTCTCAAAGATGTTTCCTTTAATCTTAGAGCACTCGCAAAATTCCAAGTCTATGTTTCAATTTTTACAGAAGTAACAAGGGTGATGCCTGGTGTTGGTAATGCAGGACTTTTAGATCACCCTGTATCCATACTTCTACCTATAATTGTTTCACTTGCAGCACTGACCCGGGCCAAGAGACACACTAAATTATCTTTAAATATTAATTACGTCATTAGCCATGTTTATACGTGCCACTCGTCCTGGGCTAATTCATGACGAAGAAATCTAAATTAATTTTGATTATATTAATATACGTTTTGATGTATTTGTTAGCTGATCGACAAGTACTAATATTGGAGATTTGATTTTGTGATAAGCTCATTTACCTATCATACAGTGGCAAAACTTCGAATCGTACCTGATAACACGGCCTCAATTTTGACGTTTAAATATTACGCCAAAATAATGCTTTCGGCATATGGTGCACGCAAAAAAAACTTTAAAATTGCTCGGTATTTGCCCTTTAGCGGGCTTTAAAAATGTGCGATGACTTCAAAGTGACAAAGTAAGCTGAATAAAATTCATTTTCCTGCCTTGAAAGAACAAATCGCCGACAAAAACTAGCTGGGACTTCGATTAAGAAATATTTGGCTCAGCAATATTTGGCCTTGCGAAGCCCATATGCACTCGCAAGTCCGCACTCTCACCAAAGGCCTGAGAGTGTCCCAGTGACCATAGTCCAGCGTTGCAACATCTCAATCGATTTGTTGATTGTCACGCACTACCATTAAATATGCGATGAACATATATTTTATCAAGTACAATGTGGTTCAAATAAATCATACAAGAAAGAGAACTCACTTTGATGCATTTCAACATCGCACAATAGCTATTCAATTTCTCGACATGTCAACTTTTTGACAATCGTTTCAAGGAGAGGTGTGTCAGGTATGTTACAAATACATGATCGACCCAAAAAATATCGACCTTATTGTACCATCCAGTACTCGTAAAAATGGTATCGTCTATTTAGAATCGCACGATCGAATTTTGCAATCCGGTTCCTATATGCGAAAGTATCATTACCATTCTTTTATATTCCAATCATATGAGCTTATAAGATGAATCGATTGATTTCATAAAAACCGGCTGGTTCTCGAGTTTTCAACGATCTAGGTATAAGTATTTAGCGTATTTACGCTGAAATGAAGTATGTACAAAATACTAAAAACAAAAGGAACTATGTGCGCAATGGTTTTGCATTCTTTTTGGTCCTTTCTATTTGATTCATTTTCGCATAGTCGTTTTTTGCCATAAATACGTCTCATTTTAGGTTTCATCCGACGAAGATTAGGTAAAAGATATCAACCCGGGGGATGCACGATTGGTTTTATTGCAACCCTGTTTTGCGAGCAGTGAAACGAGTCTATTGAAGTCTGAGTTCAACGGAAACATTGTTGGAATGTCATGGACTCAATTCATCAGGTGTAATAAAAAATTCTGAGTATATCAACTTACTCGATCTTCTCGCAACGATTCGGTGAATAAATGAAAAACGTATGGTGCGTTTAAAAACAGTTGTTAACACGCAGAATAATAAACAAAGAAAAAAGTTGGATTCCACTCAAACCCCTCGTGGTGCCTGTGGTTACAATGCCTTAAAATAACTTGACTGAAACTGAAAATTTCAATGACGTGAACCTCTAATGAGAGGGCGTTTTTAGAAGGTGTAAAATGCCGATGGTAAGTTCCTTTGTATGAAAAAATTTCAGTTCTCATGCAAAGTTTTTGCTCTTGTTTAAAAGACACATTCTAATGATTGTTCACTCCGAATTTCTCATCTAACATGTGCCGTATTTTTTGCGTCCTCCTCTACTCCTTTCTCTCTCATATCAATTTAAATCAATTTTAGTGCATTTTTTGCCGGTGAAAAATAATTCGCAGAATTTTACGAGGAAAGTGAAGAATTAAAACTTTTGAATGTACACCTATATTAGGTGTTCAAAGGAACAGATGGAAGTGTCAGAAAATTGGTCAGGTTGGACATTCTTTCACTTCAGAAAACAGGAAAAGACCTCATCAAAGGCATCAAAGGATTGGAACCTCATTAAAATGTCAATTATCTCTTACTTGTATTCAGTTTTACCGAACACTTTAGAATAAAATAAAAAAAACTTTCCCCTTAGTGGAAAAAAAGGAAATAAATAAGTTAGCCCTCTCTTTTTATTTTGAAACGTAATTCAAGAGTGCTGTGCGAAAAAAAAGCACGAGCGACAGGCATTCATTGTAAATGCTAACTAATAAAGAAGGAGAATAAGAAGACATTGGGAAGAGGTACCGTATCTAGCCACATGCTTGATCTAACAATGATGTTCAATGACCGTATGGTTGGATATGCGGTCCTGCAACTGATTCGTACTTAGTTACCGCAAGAAAATCTTCCGGTCCATCTTACGTTCCCACATCTCTCAGACCGAGTTCAACAAAAAAGAACCAAGTCACATCCAAGATGCGACGAAAAAAAAAAGAGTTTGGAGTTTAACTCTTCGGTAATTTAATACTACGGATGAAGTTCAACGGTTCTTGTAACATTCAAAATATTTTTCGTCATCGTTGAATTTTTGACAGGGAAAATGAGTGTGGCCAATCAAATCAAAAACTACTCCATACGCCTTACGCATTCGAAACGATTTTTCTGAAAATGCACTACTTTTGGAAAAAAATTAATAAATGCAGGGGACAAAAAACTGCAAGGAAGAAAGGAAAATATTACTTTTTCGTCGCAAACTCAATTTCCAAAAAAAATTCGACTTGACACTTTTTCGAAAAGAGCGCGGCTTTAATTTCTAAAAAAAAAATTACTCGATTTGATTCTGTTTAATGAGATCATTTTTTGGTCCGACAATACCGATAGCTTTTAAAGGATTTTTCTTTTTTTAAAATGTATAAAAAATTTCAAGAAAATTTGTACCTGAGAATTCGTGAGGATATCCGTAATCCGCTGTTGTTTCGAAACACTCAGAAAAAGGACACTTATCACAACTCGACGTCACGAACTATCACGACCAACTCGCCGAACTTGTGCTACCGTCACGTTGTCTTGCGTATCTGACGAGGAATCACCGAACGGAAAGAACTCTTGAGGAAGCCGAAGACCGATTGAGGACTGATTTCTGAAGCTCACGCCGAGGCGCGCGGAGTCAGAGCCCGCAGGTGAGGCGCCGCGGCGTCCCCCCCCCCTTCCCCTGTTCCCGACCCCCCTCCTCGAATCCGGGGAACTTCGCGCAATTCGGGCATGATTTAAAATTATTATAATAATGCACTCGACGGAAAAAACCGGAATTATATTTTTGGAAGAGGTTTTGCTTTTACACCGAAGCGCTCAAGCGAATTTGTCGTTTCCTCGATGAATAAGGAACGTAAGTGCATCGCAAGGTTGCAAAATTGTCTTAAAAATATACTTTTTTCTAAGAATACGATTGCAATTTTTGCGCAAAATTTTGCGTGCAATCAGAGGAAAAATCAATGAAATTTTCTATGAGAAATACCTAATAGTTTCTACGTAAAAATTCAGTTTAAGACTGGAAATTTTGCGTTGCGTTGAAACTGATTAAGGTTCTCCCGGCTAGGTAACCACGAGTTGTAGGATTAGAGGGGGCTAAAGGAATGCCGTGCTAAGGAAAAACATCATATGGACATCGGAACGTCGCGTCGCCAAGTTTCCTCTGATGAGATTGTTAGCCTGCCTTTCATTTTCATAACGAAAAATTTTCGAGAAATCCCTCAGCAATCACCGGTAGATAAAGATTCATTTAATAAGGATTATAAACGGGTGCCGAATGAAATAACCGATCCTGAGAACGAGCCAGTACTGTAAAATATATAGAAAAGAACTAGCGAATCACACGACTGGCAGGCTAATAATTGGAATTAACAGACGAAGCTACGAACAAAGGAGGCAGAAGGAAAATGGAGTGATCCTATTGGTTGGAACAGGTAATTTTTATTAACTGAGGGGGAAATGATGGACTAACTAAAGGGTTTCTCGAGGGTTGTATCTACTTAGTCATTACTCAGCTCCTTTGTCCATTGGAGCCACCCGCTTTCACCAATAGGATCCTTCATTCCCTCTTTATCTAAAGCTTTGTCCATCACTTTCAATACTCAGCCAGCGGTAGCAAGCTAGTAACACTACTGCCCCTCTCTCCCTCCAATCTATTACAGGTCTTCGATTCCAGATGAGGTAGCGTTACATTGATAGATGTAGATGTTTTAGTACATTTAAATGGACAAAACTGAGTTTGGCCACCTTGCGAGATGCGCCACTGTATGTGACGTCTTCGTCCCAGAAGTGAGGACTCAGCGACCTTGCCGTCACACGTTTTCGACGGCCCACTTGCCCAGCTTTTTTGGATCTCAATCGTAAACATTCTGGTCACGGATCGCGGGCCGATCGAGACTGCATCGGAAATCTACTGGGCGGACGCAGAAAGAAACAACGATCGATTCACGTCCGTTGCTATAACCTCTCCCGAGAGTGGGTCTTTCAAGAACCGTTAGCCAAAACAAACAGCGATTCTTGAAATTTGGCAGCACTGGGCTTCGCGCTTTTAAATTTAGGAAGATTAATCGATTTTTATCGATTCTACAGGGTGTCCGGAAGCTAATGCACTATGTGAGGTATATAGGCTTCCTTACCGAGAATCGACTATTTTTAGTGTATTTAAATGGAGAAAAAACAGTGTTGCCAAACTGCAACCCCCGAGTCCTAACATACCACAGTTGATAGCGGGTCCAATTCAAGATAGTTAAGCTAAATTCGAATCCGTGTCTTAAAATTATCTTAGTGGAATTTTAAAAGCGGACGAACCCATGAGATATCATTAGATTGCTGGATAAATCTTCACGCCGACCCGCGGTCTGATTTTTAAAATTGATAGACAAAGCTTTGGATAAAGGAAAATTTGAGCGGTCTTGTTCGTTGAAATGGGTCATCCATAAATAATGATCTGCCTATAGGATCCCTCGGAGGTTACTGTTGGTTAGTCTGATGTTCACCTTCTTTGTCCAGTGCAACCACCTGCTACCAACAATAGAATCGCTCGATTTTCTCTTTGTCCTTTTCGTTTATCACTTTGTCCATAACTTTCCATAATCAGCCCGTAGAAGAAACTATTTGTTCCCGTTGCAGCTTCACCCCATTCCTGTACTGAGTACAATCCGGGCTTGTTTTCTCCGAGCTTTTCCTAACATTTCGATATAAATGCAGTACAGCCCAGGGCTGGATTTACTTACTTGCCGCCCATGGGCCGCCTGTATTTTGCCGCTCCCTTCTCATTCGTTTTGAAATATCAATAAAAACCATCAAATGAACGTGCCGGAGGGCGAGGGGTGCATAAGACGCCTTTACTCGTGTTGGACACATTTTTTGGGAAAGCCCTGTCAACATTACTAGCAAAATTTCACGGAACTTGCCGCAAATGTTAAGTTCCGTAAACCTATCTCTGTGTGGACAAGGCCCTCCATTTATATGAAATGAACAAAAATATTATAAAAGAACAAACATAAATGTGGTTTAATAATCTTAACTTCCGCCGCTGCGCCGCGCTGACCGCACTGTGTTAAGCGCGATGCGTGAAGTATTCCTACTCTTGTATGCGCTATGTGTTTCACGCCGACCGCTGCTGCACGCACTGTCATTGATGCAATGCGTGAAGTATTCATGCAGTCTTGTAGGCGCTATGCGTTACACGTCGCCCGCTGCTGACCGCAGCGACCGCACTGTATTTGACGCAATGCGTGAAGTATTCAGGCAGTCTTGTAGGCGGTAATATGTGTTACATGCCGACCGCCGCGCGCCGTGCCGAGGGTTTCTCCTTTTCATCTCAAGTTCTCTCATCATTGCTCTCTGCGCCGCGCCGTTCCAGGCAAAATTCCGTGTTCGGTTTCTCTCGCAGTCCTAACTCGACTAATTAAAGGTGCTGTCTATTGTATCACAGAAAGACGACTTAGATATTTACTCTCCAGAAATGAGAGATTTTGTCACCTTTTCTCGTTTGTAATTTTTTTTCTGGATCCGATTTTTCTTGATAGCTACATTTAAAAAAATTGCAAAATTTGCCGCCATGGGCCGCGGCCCATGTGGCCACCCCCTTAATCCGGCCCTGGTTCAGCCGGTCGATTGCTGAATCGATATCGAATGACCTTGATAGACAACTCCCTATCTCAGCAATCTTAGGTATCTATTAATCGAGATCACAACGATTAAATAATCCAAGCACAGGGTAATTTCGAGGATTTATGCCAGATAGATCTAATTTTTACTTCAACTGTCGAAGTTTCTTTCGACAACTTATTTGTCTGCGAGAGCAGGGGTGATTAATATCATTTGAAACTAGGAGGCTGAGCCCCCTGAGCGCTTCGTGGTCTAACTACCCGGAGCGCTTCGCGCTTTGGGTGATACATGCATCACGCTTTACTCTTATGGTTTTAAATTTTAATGGCAATGATTTGTTTGTTTTTATTTTTGGTTTAGGTAACAAAATTTCTCTGAAATTTTTTGTGTGAAAGATGAAACATTTAACGAATAAAGAAGCACATTGATAGATGTATGCCAGTGTTATAGTGCGCACAACTGCCGAACTAAGGAAAACTCCTTATGAACATCCAGATGTTGCCAAATTTTTCCTTATCAAACATTGATTTTTTAGACAAATTATCAATACGTTTACTAAGAAATTTTCAGATGCGGTAGCTTAAATTGATAATGAAATAATCTGACAACTTGAGAGAAGAATATCCTTAAGTTTCCCTTGAAATTCTTGTTTTATCGAAAGAAATAAGGCAACGTCTAGAGGTTTAAACGGCGTTTTTTCTTAGCAAGGCAGAGAATTCCCTTATGAAAAAGTTACTGAAGAAAGAGATGCATCTTCAGATGAAATTTTGAAAAATTCTAATGCTATAGAATCCCTCTGCCTCTGACCGGTCTATTTTTGAACGGGAAAATTTTGACACATCTCGGAATCCAAGGTTGGGATACGGAAAACTTGTAAAATGGAAAAAAGGAAAAGAAGCGACGCGATAGTGACAGATATAATCAGATGGAAATTGGGGTAAGCGGATGAGGAGGAACAATAGCATTTTGCATCGTAGGAAGTATTATTGTCTGCCGTGCTAACAGTCCATTTTTCCGCTATGAATTAATACCAATTACTCATTCGAGAATCCTCGCTTCATTTCTGATTCTTTTTCTCGCGAGTTCAAGCCAGGGTCACGTTCAGAGATTTACAGTGTGTATACTACAATGACTGAGTAACACACGTGAGCGTTTCCCGCCACTTTGCGAACATTTTTCGCCTGTTGTGAGAATTTCTCGCCTCCTTACGAATATTTAAGTAGCACTTCTGCGAATTTGCGAGGGTTTTTCACCCGGTCCCTAGCATTTTTCGCCACTTTGCATAATTCCTGCCTATAGCGAGAAGTTGTCGACATTTCTCGCCACTTGACGAATATTTAGATAGCATTCTTTTTCGAATTTGCAAGGATTTTTCACCCATTCCCTAGCATTTTTCGCCATTTTGAATAGATCTCTGCATTTCGCGAAAATTTTTCGACATTTTAAAAGCATTTTCTGCGACTTCAAGAACATTTTGTAAACATCATCTACTTTTCTCCAGCATTTCTGCCTACCTACTTGCAGACATTTTCCGCCACATAGCGAAATATATTTCACATTCCAAGCGAATGCTGCCTTTGGGGAATCATTTTCCACCAATGGAAAGCATTTTACACCAATTTTCGAACATATCCACCTTTTTGCGAGACTTTGAAGGCATATTCCTTCTTTTATCCTCACTGAAAAAAAAAGAATCTTAAATTTGCCGCCAAGAGGTGTTTTTTCTTAAATCAAGAATTTTGCTGCTTAATACAGGCTACCTTTTTTTTGCTTAACCCAAGCATTACATTTCTTATATCAAGAAAAATTCAGCTTAAATCGAAATAAAAAAAATTCTGGCGGCAAATTCAAGAATCAGCTTGCTTCAGCCAAGCACATTTTTTTTCCAGTGATGAATTCCCCGCCATTTCCCGGGCATTTACTGCCTTTTACGAGCCAATAGATCGGTCTCATGTGTCTGGCTTGTTTTCAAAAACCCATTTAAGATAGTTCCGTTCTAC